TATATATATATATATAATATTACATATGTATGCTTTTGTAAGAAGTGATTTTTTATTTTATCATGAATTAAAAGAAATGAGGCGAAAGTTGATTTGATTTCGAAATTCAATACATATTTCAATGATTGTTGAGTAAGATTTTTCGGATGGGTATGCGGTGTAGCGTTTGAATTGAAAGGAAGAATACAATGAAGAGAGAAAGAGAGAGTCCTACTCACAAATTGCATAATGCTGAATATAACACGTATAAATATTGTTATTCACCATTTTCACATTCGATATTCGTTAGATGTTGTGAAGTGATATGAGATACCGGAGATCGAGTACTTTACTCGAATTATGTCTAGATATATTCACAGTGCAGATGTTTTTGTGAGATTGCTAGACGGTGTTAAATTCGAGTTCCTAATTTGCACTTATTTGAATTGGTTTGTTTCCTTGTAATGTTTCACATTGATCAGCTAATCAATTTTTGTGCTGAAATATGAGTTTATTCAAGCCACACTCATAAAATTGTTTGATTGTTAGAAGAACAGTGTTCTTGCTCATATATTGATGAATCAGCTTACTGTATGTACATGACCCACATTATGATTATTTATTGATCACAACTGTTTGAATTACGTGTTGCGGGGACGAAATTTTGCAGTGGAGGACCCCGAGAATGTTGTCGGCTCGGAAGATGTCGTGGACGGGGACGGGGCCCTCGAAATTTCCCCGTACCCGCGACACGCTAGTTTGAACGCTGTTTAGTTGATGAGGCGAAGTTTTGCGTAGTGATTTCATTCACATCGTTCAGGAATAAAATGGTACGAAACTGCTTCATACTAAGGATCGATTTTCCATTCAACTCAGCTCCGTTCGGAAAATATTCGGCTAAGAAGTGTTCCTTTCGTTTCCCTCATCCTGTTACAGACTGCCTCAACCATCAAGAAATTGGTCAAACAGTTCATTGATAATTAGATGATAATATTTGTTGGAGTGCAAGAAATGTGAGAGAAATTTCATTTCCTGATGTAAATTAAATGTGAGAATAAATCTGGTTTTTATGTGATGTGTTATCAATTTTTGCGTATAAAGGTGAGGGGTGATGATTTTAAAGTGGAGTGAATTAATCAAGTGAAAAATATTCCTAATTTATCGAGTAACAATGGGGTTGTTGAAATCACCTAATCAATACAGTGAATCTTACATATCTTCATTAAGTTGTGATTTTACCATATCTTTTTGGCTTTAAAGGTATTTTAGTATTTTGTTGAGCATCATTTCATAACTTTATCTTAGTTTGGTAATCTCATTTTTCATTACTTTTCGATTAAAACTACATTTTTGAGGGTGTGTTATAAGTCGAGTGTGCTGATGACAGTGTACATTCGATTCGTTATCAGCCGATCGTACTTTTATTTATGTGGTTTATGTACTTGAAGAATATGACAGAGTTTGTGTGCATTCTTGCGTGGTTTTTGTACAGCAAGTTTAGTCATGAGCAAAATTCATCTTTTTCTTCTCGTATGCTACCAACCAAGTTTCATTCAAGATGGAATTATATGTGTACAATTGAACGTAAACTGAAATATGTGCCCGCAAAAACGCCATTTGCACAATTCGATCGATTATCTCTTCTCTCATAAATGACAAATAATAAACATTTCGTTAGCAAATCGAAAACCAAAAATATTTTTCTCATTATCTTCTTCACCTTATTTCTTTAGCTCAGTCCAAAGCCAACTTTTCAAAGAAGAAATCAGTTCTTTTCTAAATCAGTCGGTGTTGATCGATGCAACTCGTATATTACCATTGCTGATCAAATATTATCCATAAACATTGACTGAGATGTTAATGCAAAAGATAAAGGTAGTACAAATTATTGCGGTGTAAAGAATTTTCATTCAAGTACTAAGTTGGTGCATGGGAAATGAGCAGTTGTTTTGTTTTGGAATCGTTTCATCATGATTGCACAGAATTAATTTTGTCTTAAACATGTATTTGTATGGTACAACTTTTGAATAATGTGAAGAATGTAACGAAGAATTCTTAGATAAGTGAGAATATATATTATATATATATATATATAT